CTGTAAACATATATAACACAAGATAACTGCTGACTAGAGAGCATAGAACAATTAACATGGAACCGATACGTACACATAAAGAACCTGTAAACATATATAACACAAGATAACTGCTGACTAGAGAGCATAAAACAATTAACATGGAACCGATACGTGCACATAAAGAACCTGTAAACATATATAACACAAGATAACTGCTGACTAGAGAGCATGGAACTGATACGTGCACGTAATGGATCTGTAAACATATATAAGAAAAGATAACTGCTGACTAGATAGCATAGAACAATTAACATGGAACCGATACGTGCACATAATGGACCTTAAAACTGTAACATACATAATACAAGAAAAATACTGTCTAATGAGGACAGAAACGAGGAATATGATACTTATTCAATGCTGTACTAATTGTAGACATTGAAGAGTCATTATTGTAACATAATCTCCGTGAAACAGCAAAAATGTTATATAAATGTTTATCATTCTCGAATTCCTCATTCTCACTGATATTAATTAATATCATTTTTATTTATACTCGAATCAACAAGCTAGAGATGGAACATCTCTACGTTATTGATTAGTTGTTTTAAAGAGTACTGTAGAGAGTTACTTTTAGACCTTTCTTTGGTTAGAGAATCACATCAAGATCTCCAGACGTGGCTTGGATATGGTGGGTAAGTTCGAGAAAGATATTCGAATTGATATCACAAGCGTTACCTGATATAAATTTTCTCAGATTTAAAGCAACTATCTGAATTTTCCAGCGTACTGGCTTAGCCAGAAAAAAAAAACGATACGTAGGTGAATGCAGAGGTAAAACTCATTAGATTTCTAAGTAGCTCATGGTTAGAGAAGAGGAGCCCTCCAAGTTTAACTGGAAACGATAAACCAGAGCGACCTAGGTAATCGTGCGGAGTGGTTATTTCAGAGTTTATAATAAAGGTTCAACCTCTTAAAAGTAAAGCTTCGTGATAGGAACACTTCCCAAGATTACCAATAAACAAATATTGAAGATAATGTTACGTAACTTGGAGACTATGGTAAGAGATCAGTTCTTTTCTTAGCCCAAGAAGTCACATAGTTTATGGTTAATTACTATTGGTATCACAAAACCTGTGATGTGTTACTATGACAGTGTTGTCGTAAGATACATGGTCGCCAACAATTAAATACATTTTACAGTTGTAAACGGTAGCAGTGTAAGTAATGAATATATATTCTGTAGTTGGTGTATAGCGTAAGTGATGAATATTTATTTTATAATTGGTGTATAGTGTAAGTAATGAATATTTATTTTATAGTTGCTGTATAGTGTAAGTAATGAATATATATTCTGTAGTTGGTGTATAGTGTAAGTAATGAATATTTATTTTATAGTTGGTGTATAGTGTAAGTAATGAATATTTATTTTATAGTTGATGTATAGTGTAAGTAATGAATATTTATTTTATAGTTGGTGTATAGTTGGATATTCCCTGTAATTATGACATATAATTTCAAACATTGTAACTGATAATCAGCCGTGCTTTGGTACGTTATTTGTTTTGTTTTTAAAAATTATACTACTAACGGATATATGGAAAAGACAGTTTTGGATTTTACAAAGAAATACAAAAATCGAAAGTTTGAAAGTCATATTTTTGGTGCCAGTTTCTAACATTGTATACTAACATCACTTTACAAGAAATAATATAGTTAAGTGAATGTCTAATTTTTCATGTTTAATTCAAATGAGTCATGCATTCAAAAATCTGTATTTTCGAGGATAATAAATTTTGAAACAAAATAATCGCATTTTTTGTTCAATGGTAATCTTTGTGATGAGAGTGAAGGTATAGCTATGGGTTCCATATTAGCTTTCAGATTGAAGGTATAGCTATGGGTTCCATATTAGCTTTCAGACTGAAGGTATAGCTATGAGTTCCAGAGTAGCTTTCAGATAGAAGGCATAGCTATGAGTTCCAAGTTATCTTTGAGATTGAAGGTATAGCTATGGGTTCGAAATTAGCTTTCAGATTGAAGGTATAGCTATGGGTTCCATATTAGCTTTCAGATTGAAGGTATAGCTATGGGTTCCATATTAGCTTTCAGAT